CTGTCTTTCCCGTAAGTAACCTGTGTCTGAATGAGTGAAAAACCCTCTGCCAAGGCCTCCTCCCATCCTCGTGTTAGGGCCCTCTCCTGAATCTCACCCCTACTCCAGCGCTGGCATGGGCAAGGTTATTTCTTATTACGGTCAGGTGTTACCTCTTCCAGGGGTATCCGCCTCGAAAGGATTCTTTAAAGACAATACGAGAAATCTGCCCTCTGTTTGTAGGTATATCAAGCATCAGAAAGCTGGTGGAGTATATATTTGGGGAGGACATTTTCTCACTCTGAAATGAGGTCTTACAGAGCTGATTTTAAGATAAAAAGAAATGGCAAGTTCAAATTTTAAATTAACCATGGTTTGTATTTAAACATGAACCACCCTAGGATCACAGAACATGAGAGACGGAGTTGGGAGGAACTTTAGCAAGAAATCATCAGAGAGAGTCTGCCACGGCAGTCATGCGGTTGAAGTGCCACCTGTGCCGTGTTATTGTAAATATCAATTTGCTGAACAGCTGTACAATGTTAAGTATAGCAGGTTTCTTAAAACAGCTAGTGATTGAGAATTATCAACAGTAGATTTCCATAGAGGGAGTGTTTAATTGTTCTTTAGTGTCATATAAACCTGTTAGAAAGAAGGCATGCTTTGGGATAATAGCAGATCAACACCACATTAAAATTGATTAAGAGTATTTGTTTCCACTTTACTAGGCTTGGATTACACAAATTATTTGAGTGGGCTGAAAGGTCCTATCCAGAAAACAAGTTCAGAACCACAGAGCTAGAAAAAGTAAGAGGGAGTGATTGGACCCAACCCATAGTTTTCATTTCAAATAAAGGACACGATTTTCTCTCCAAATGTATCGGTAATCCACTAACACCATCAGAAGCTCAATTTCAAAGTCATCACCAAAACAATCAAGAATTCTTGTCTTTCCACAAATGATCTGTCTGGCTTTAGTTTCAATTACTTTCTTTTTGTTAAATTCAACCCCAAGAAAATAAAAAAGAAGTGAGTATTATTTCAGCTTTAAAAGTGTGCCAGGGCCCTGACTGCTGTGGCTCAGTAGACCTGGCATTGCCCTGAAAACTGAAAAGTTGCCAGTTCGATTCCCAGTCAGGGCATATGCCTGGGTTGTGGGCCAGGCCCCTGTTGGGGGCATGTGAGCCAATTGATGTTTCATAGATATTTCTCTCCCTTTCTTTCTCCCTCCCTTCCCCTCTCTCTAAAAATAAATAAATAAAATATTTTAAAATAAAATAAAATAAAATAAGTGTGCCAGGAACTTTACATACCTTAACCTTTTATTGGCTTGACCACAAACCTTGTGGATATTATATTCTCATATTTACAGCTAAGAAAAGGGAGGATAAAAGATTATACATTCATATTTTTAATGGAGACAGTTTTAATTCTGTTAGAATTTGGTAGAGTATAGTGATAAGAAACAAAACTTAATGATGTGTATAAAGACTTATTTTGACTGTTGCAACCTCATTTGCATTCAAGCATAGTTATCATACTCCTTAGAAGAAGCAGAAAAATAATTGAGTTGACTCTCTCCTCATTTTTTTGTTTAAAAAATATACATGGGGTGTCATGAGCATAGAAATTCAGCTCAAAGTAGCTAAGACAAAAAAGAGAACTGATTTGTTCCTGAGCCTGGCAAATCAAGGTTAAGTCTGATTTTAAGTATAGTGGGATGCAGGTGCTTCCATATTATCATCACCGCCCTTTGTTTTCATATTCTCGGCCTATAATCCTCAATCACTCAGCTTCATTCCCTCCTGCTGTAGAAGACCTTTCTCCATGTAACCAGCAAAATAGTTGCCAGCAGCCTCAATGTAATTTTCTTCAAGATTACCTACTCCCAGGAAAAATAACTATTCCCATCCTAATAATAATTCCAAGGAAGGCTTTCATTTTCCTCTTTCGGTCACATGTCCTCCTTTGCATGGATTACTTTCCTAAAAGAATCGTGTAATATACAGAAAAATGACACCCTCCCCAAAGATGTTCATGTTCTAATTTATGTAGCCTTTGAAAATGCTAATTTCATGGCAGCAGGGACTTTGCAGAAGCGATTATATTATCGAGTTTGAGATGGAGGGAGTATCCTGGATTACCCAGGTGGGCCCAGTGCAAGCACAAGGATCCTCAGAAGAGGGATGCAGGAAGAGCCAGAGTCTGAGAGAAGGTGATAGGATGAAAGAAACAGAGCTTGGATTGATGTGCTTTGAAGGTAGAAGGAGCCACAAGCCAAGGAACACAGGTGGTCTACAGAAGTGGAGAAAGCCAAGGAATCAAATTCTTCCCTAGAGTCTCCAGATGGAACCATGCCTATAGACACTGATATTGGACTTGGGCCTCTATTGTTGTCAGAGAATAAGTTTTTATTATTTTAAGTCACTAAGTGTGTAGTCCTTTGTTACAGCAGCATAGGAAACTAATGCAGGTTGGGTTTCCCGATTTGGCTCAGGTTAGGATACATGTTTTGATCTGTAGTCAAGGGGGGGCAAGAGTTTCCAAAGGGCAGTGAGAGCGGGAACACGTGGTTGATGGGATAGCAAAGGCCACGTGAGATCAGGCAGAATTTTCACCAAAGAAGGCTTACTATAGACAAAGGACAAACAGAAAACAACTCCATAAGCAGGAACAGCCAATATTTTCCTGCTCTAATGTCCAAAAAGACAGAGAATTATGAAGAATAAAGCACACATCTTAGAATCAGTAAGACCTAAGCTCAAATCCTTCACAAAGAGTTGACACTCTAATCGTGGTTTCCAACAGTGAAGTGAGTGAGCTGGTGCCTCATCCACTCTTCTGCAAAGAATGCCTAATGTCATAGACGAGGAAGCTGAACGCACCCACTGACGTGCTGGGAGCCTCACAGGGGACCCTGTGCAAGTGAAAATTTCCTTGACTATTATTTTGATTATTTAAAATTCAGGTTACTATTTGCTTTAATGCAAAACTAATATTTTGAAAGTCCTGTGAGTTAAATTATTTTCTGTTCTCAAATATTTGAGTTAATTGGCTGCTCCAGGAAGGTATACCAATTTTGCTGTAGCTTCAAACACTCTGTGACTTCAATGATTCACATGTGTAGCCCCATTGTGGGACTAGGGCCAAGTCCCTTCCAGACCTCCAGTTCTAAGACGGTCACCATGGATCTGCTGTAGGAGGAAGGCATTGCCAGCAACAGAGAGAACTTAACTGTGGTCAGGGAGCTGCTCCCATGTCCCTTTCAGAAGACATTTCAGAGCTTCACAAAGGGAGGACTGAAGTTTTAGTGGTTTTAAAACATACCGGCAATTTTTCTGGACAACTGTCCCATCAAGAGGTGGTTCTGTGTCCTCTTCCCTTGAAACAGAGTGAGGTTTGGTGACTGCCTTGACTAAGAGAATGACCCAGAAGGAAAACTATGGGACTCTGGAAACAGTGAACAAAGGCAGTACAGCTGCCACCCACCTGCTCCCTTTTGGGAGGTTTGACCTTCTTACCCAGCTGCCCTAGTGTGAGGAAGCCAAGCCAAGTGGAGGTATTCAGGATAACAGCCCCCACTAATATTACCGCCATAGCCACCATCAATTGTTGGACACATGGGTGAGAAAGGCTTTGTGATGACTCCAGTCACGGTCATTATCTAGTCTTCATCACTGCCTGATTGGAACAGCAGACAGACCTTGAGCAAGGCCAGCCTGAGTGAGTCCAGCCAGCTCACAGGAGAAATACTGATAATGTTATTATGGTTGTTTCAAACCACTAAGTTTATGCAGCAACCGATCATCCAAACAAGGGTAATGTCTGTAGAGAAAAGGATGGAATGTGTAGCTCAGGGAGCATAACCTTCACATGCCCAGGGCCCTAGAGTTCACCACTGCACCTCTGATTTCGCTTTCCATGTTGGATTATAACGTGTCCATTTACTTCTTCACTGTCCTGTCTGGAAGGTAGCAGATGCTTCATAAGCGCATAGAGGGAAGGGAGTGAGGGGACAAGGGAGGCTGGGAACCGAACTCAGAGGATGAGAGCAGTAGTCCTGGGACCCCAGTGACATCTTTCATGGGTTGAATTTGGTGAGCAGTTCCAAGTAGTCTAATGCTGCCTGAAGATGCAATGTCACCAACTCTGACCTACCAACCAAGTGACAATGTCACTTTATAGCTGACAATGCATTTCTCACACTTAAATACATGAAACAATGGGATCAACGGGGGCTATCTTCCAAAAGTAATAATTGTACTCTAGTCATTTATTTTACACATATTTATTGAATATCTGTTATATGGTAGGCACAAAGATAAGCAACCCACAATTTTATATTAAAGTAAACACAGGTGTGTTATAGAAAAGAATGCAAAGTTAACATGGATTAAAAAAAGATAAAGATCCCTCAGAGAATATTGACCCTTGCAGTGGCCTCATGCTATATCCCTAGAACCTCAGAGGTGGGCATAGGTGTCAACTTTCCTCAGCTGGCGGGAGTGCAGAATGTGAGGAACTCCCCTTTCAGGCACTGATAGAAAGGCTTCTGCCGGAATGTCTTCCTGTACTGTAAGTCAGAACGGGTAGCTCCTCCGAGTGTAACCTGCAGGCATGTCTTATTGGAACCACAGATTCATTTTTGGTTTTGTCTTTACAGCCTGAACTGGTGGCTGGTATTTAAAACTCAAGGGTGTCATTCATTAAGTTGGCTTTCCAGCTTCTCCTCAAATAAACTGGAAGAGCTAGCAACCTTGGGCCACCTCCTTACATGTCAACAGTCAGCTGGCTAGACAAGACCTGACCCCAGCGGCTCACCACTTCCTGTCCACACAAGCTTCTCTGGACCATGGAACCTGTCTGGGCCTGGGAAGTATCTGAACCTACATTGCACATTCCAACTTGAATCATCTGGGTCATTTTTTCAGTATTTAACACTGACTGATCCAAATTTCTAAAATTGTCTACAATTTTCAGGGTACTAATCTTAAGAAACAGATCCAGAAATTGGACCTTACCTGCCCAAGTTCCAAATCAGAGCATCCGAGAGCGGCAGGGACCCACTTTTCTGTCCGTGATCGTAGGGTTCTGAAGGCTGCCGCACAACCACGGGGCCCAGAGAGAGCCCCAAGATTTTTAATCCTCTCCAGGGAAGAAGCAGACTCAAAATGCGCACCTTCTCCAAACATAGCCCCAGGCAAATCAGGCAAACAGGAAATTGAAGGAGTTAAATAGGGTTATTTTAGAGCATGCACTCTCCTTATAGGACACAGGCTTTACAGTGTTGAGAAAGAAGTAGAGTGTTCCCGAAATGTCTTCTGATTCTGTCAAGAACAGGTGGGGATGGCCTCTCACCAGGAAACGGACAGCCAGGCAACTGAGTCCAAGTTCCCACAGTACTGTGCACGCGTGCGTGAACGTGTGCATGTGTGTGTCACGGTATTCACCTCAGGGGCAGTGAGTGTTCCCCATGAGTCACGGTTTTGTTTTCTGGACTCAGGAGCCTGTGGTCTGGCAAGAATCAAGGCCCAGGATTTTGCAACAGCTGTTTGTGTCACCTGGGAAGGCAACAAAGCAGACACTGGGGTCATTTTCATCAGCTTTTGAGCACAAGTTCTGCCAACCAAAAGGCCATGTTCCTCAGCTGGGAAAATAATATTTCCACCCGGGACCAGTGTGGAGTCTTAAATGCCAGGGTCGAAACTCTTAATTTATGCCATACAGCCATTGTTTAAATAGCCTCTAGTTCTAACATAACTAACTTCTAACTTCTAAGTTCTAACTTCCAGAGGGAACAACTGCAACATCTTTTCGAATGCTACCATAACTCTGGGGAGGCTCGTCAGCACATAGGATGGGGATAAAAGCTCATTCTACGTATTTAACTTACCATGAAATAACTTTCTCGTTGTTGCAGGAAGCAGCCACCTTGTCCTTCGTTCAGGAATTTAATATACAACCTTCTCTCTGCCAGGGCAACTATTACAGGTTCCTTCATATCACCTTGTAGCCCTGGTCTTTACAGACCTCATTTTTTCCCCACCCTGGAGGAAGTCTCTCTAACCCCTTGATCTTACATTTGCTTCTCCCTGAACCCTTTCCAGCCTTTCCATGGAGAGAGGCACAGTGTCCTTTGGACTGTGGCCACGGGAGAAATGCCAATTATGTGATGACCACAGGCACTGCCTGTTCCCTGCAAATAGCACACAACAATGACAGAGGGGTGCCACGGGGGACGACTGGCTTCCCTCTTGCTGTGGGAACCTGTTTTAACATATTTGGGATAATGAAACCAGCTGGTGTGCTTAGCAGATGTAACAGAAAACCTTACTGAAGACCTGAACCCTAATTAAGTCTTGGAAGACAGTTAAGGGTCTGAAAAGTCATAGCAGGTCTATCAATGCATTAATTGAGAACTCCTTAAAGCTCTCTCACCTCAGTGTCCTCAAAACAAGATGCTTATTTTGAAGACAGTCATATTAACAAGGAGAGGTTTTAAGGCAAAAGGTATTTACATGAATTGGAAGAGAAGAGAGTGGAATTTTTCATTTAGATTATCTTTTTAAAAATCTGCCTCATTTCCAGATCCAAAAGTAATATTGACAGAAAAGTTTAGATACAATTTATTGCAGCAAACTTGTTTGATTGTCACTTTGATATGCAATGATTTACTTTTAATAGTGACTCTTTGTCTCATCAGATCTGAGCTTCTTATCACAAAGTGATAACTCCTACACTTACGATTCTTCTACTATAATTTTTTCTCTGCTAAGGTAGCATTCTTAAGGCTTTTGGTCTTCAGTCCTGCATAAGATGCAAATAATGCTGAGAGGGAACATACCTTTTGTTATTATCAGTAGATATAACAGAGAAAAAACATTTGGAAGGATTGATTGTCAGTAGGAGATACAAATGGGATTCAGAAGAGGTCATGAAGAGGCAAAGAAACAGAGCAAGGAATAGAGTGTGTGTGTGTGTGTGTGTGTGTGTGTGTGTGTCTTAAACTTTGACACTTTTAAAAAGGAATTAAAAAAAAAAACCCTCCTCTCACTACTCGGCCCCCACTCCATCCCTTCACAGTTTTGCCACAAGTTAGCCTTACCACTAAGGTCCCTTGGAACTTGCCCTTGGAACTTGCCCACCAACCCAGCTTACCCTTAGTCAACTTGTAAACTAAGAAGAAGCCTCAAGAATAATATATTGGTTCCAGGAAACACCACCCCACTCAGATCAGACCACAGTTATCCATTTCCAGGACACTCTTGGGGGTCATTACTTGCAAGAAGGGAGTCATTGCACTCAGTCCTATGAGAAGCCAAGCATGCCTTCCTGGTGAAACAGCGTGCCAGCATGCCAACCGATTGGGATATTGCTCTGGAACAAAGGGGAACACACAGAGGCTATTCTGAGAATGCTATAAAGTCATGATTACCCCACAGACTGGCCCTGAAAATTTAACCAGTGTCTGTGTGAAATGCAGATGAAAAGCACTTTATTGATATCATTTTCCTTTTTATAATTACAACGGGTAATTCTCTTCTAATTGTCATGAGTTGACCCAACAAAGAGCAGAAGAAAAACATATTTGTGTTTGATTATAAGCATTGTTGTTTTCCTTAGGATAAGTGAATGGTGGGGTGAATACTGAAAAGCAACCAGAAGCCATAAACTAGACCATCTTCTGGGCTGAAGGAGGCAGGATGTCTGGAGCAACATCACAGTCATCTGCGAAACACCCATGCCCTTGGTCTACCACAGACGGTACTCTCCACATCGTAAACACAGACATGCTCTTTCCAAAAGAAGAGAGTCAACACCATTGTTTTAGTCACTCTAGTTTTCTTAAAAACATTAAGGTTCACCAGACATACAAATATGATGGTATTTTCAACTCTTTTTCTATTCTTTCCTATTTAAAAAGCGAGGTTTCTTTGTGTGAGAGTCCTCTGACTTTTATTTTTGAGGCAGTTTCTATAAATAAGCTAAAACAGTGCTCTGTGAATAATTTTCCTCTCAACTAAAACAGCTCATTCATTTCAGTTGATATTGGCAAGAAAACATCCACCTGTTTCATCTTGATTAGTTATTTCCATAAACTGAAAGAATGAAGAGTGCCTCAAAGATTCTTAATGTCCCAGAAGATCATTAAGTGAAAGAGAAAAATGTACAAAAAAGAATGCCATCTTGTGGCTGTGCCGCTAGAATGACAATAAAGCAAACTTTATTACCCTAGAAAGTAATGCTATGGTGTCCGCACAGGGGGCTGCACAGTGTAATAGGAGCCCCCGAGACACTGGTCCACAGTGGGAGGACTAGAGCCTGCTCCGACGTGAGTGCAGATGTCGTGTTGTCCTTGGAACCCAAAGAGAAGGACATTGTTCAGTCTGTTCCCTAGAACCAAGTATCCCTGGCAAGGTGAATTATTTCTATCAACGATTCTATCTAATTCACTTTGGGCAATGCCACTGGGTGTGATATTGATCGGTCTAGGAAGCCAAAAAGAGCTGATTAAGGGAAGGTGAAGGGAGCTCAGAGGTTTGACTTCAGCAGAACGCTGCTTGCCAGTGGTAGCCTAAAACAGACTTCTCAACACAAATTTAAATCTTGAAAATAAGAAGTTAGAAAACACCTGTTCAAGAATATGAATTGTTTTGAGCCAAGTTATGGAAGAAGAAAGCTCAGTCAACGTTTGTTATTTTAAAATCCTGACTAAGTGCCAAAAGAAGGGTTTCGATAAACTCATAGTTTGCAGATCCATTACTTATCATTAAGAAAAGCTGATGATATTTAGTAGACATTTTGTAGTTGATGCCTACAAGATTAATGATATTCTTCCACAAAAGAAAGACTTAGTTTTTAATGCTGCAAAAGGCCCAGAAAGTCATCTAGTTCAGTCTCTTAACAGAGGAAGAAAATAAGGCCAAGAGAGGCTGACTCAAATAAAACCACACAGGCAGCTAATGACTGAATTAAGTGCCAGGCCTGGGGTACCCAACTTTCTCCATATGCTACTTAAAAAACACACATACGGCCCTGGCTGGCATAGCTCAGTGGATTGAGCGCGGGCTGCGAACCAAAGTGTCACAGGTTTGGTTCCCAGCCGGGGAACATGCCTGGGTTTCAGGCCATGACTCCCAGCAACCACACATTGATGTTTCTCTCTCTCTCTATCTCCCTCCCTTCCCTCTCTAAAAATAAATAAATAAATAAAAATATTTTTAAAAAACACACATACATATACATAGCCATATATGTACATATGTAATGCATACCTTTTTCTAAAAGATTCAAAATGTATGCTACTATTTTAAAAATTCTGAGTAATCATTCAGTAAAAAAATCTGTTCAATTTTACTAAGCTCAGCTTTTCCCAAACACGCTCGGTCACGAAGCCTTCTTCGCCACGCAGCAACTATCAACATGCCATACTGCCAGATCACGCAAATGCTGTATCCAAACCTCATTTGAGCCTCTAATTATTCTATTTGGTCTACTGGTGCATTTTTTTTCAACCTAATTATTTCAAGCTAGAAATATGGGCAACAAATAAAAGTACATTCTTAAACAAAACCCCACACAGTTTCACTCACTCAACCAACTCATTAAAGTAACAATGAAACCCCGAGGTCACAGACACACAGATCTGCTGCGTAACCCGGAACCAATGGTGCCTTTGCATTTTTTTCCTTTTTTGACATTTTCAAACTGGTATGGCATTGGCCCACTTTTTCAAGGGCAGATAGCTACAGCACCCCACATATACCAACTTATTGGAAGAGAATTGGCCCCAGCATTTACTGCCAGACATTCTGGGCATAAACGAGAAAGGGAGTCCCACACACCAAAGCAGTGTCTGCGGGCCCTTCATGTATCATTAAGACTACATTTACCTTGAGCCATGAACTTTGACCTCTAAATTAAGTAAGAAAAGATGCAGCTTTATCCCTTACAGAGATTGATTAAAGTTTTATTCCATCTGAAAACCTAATCAGCGATTCCTATGGCATGGTCATTTTGTCTTCATGAAGTAGGAGGATTAGGCTGTCGGACGGCATGAAAATTCTTATATTCTGAAGTGTTTGTGAAGCTGGACCAAGAAAAACACAAACTTGGAGAGGCAACATTCCCATCTGCAGAAGGTGACAGAGTCCTCTGTCAGGTGGCCTCACGCTACTCACTGCATCCGTCATGGCAGAATAATTTCTAGTACTTGATACATGTGCCAGCCAGTATTAAGGAAGTGTCTGAGTTCCTGTGAGACGAACATATTTCACATACTCACAGATACACACACACACCACCCCCCAAACTCATAAACACTGAGGTCTTTGTGACATCCCCTTGGGTGTAAAATGGACCCGGCAACCACTTTCTGACTTAACAGTTTTAGGAGCCTTATGTGCCAGGCCAGGCAAGATTCTGCCCAAGGTTGATCCGCTGGCAATCTGTGTTCATGCTGATTTCCCACAGCCCAGTCCTCTTGAGATAGCTGCTGAAGTACACGGAAAGGTACCTAGATAAACTCATGTGACTATCGCAGTTTAATACTGCTAAATTGAACCCATGGTATCCTTTAACATGACATTACATAAATATCTCCAATCAATGGACTGATGTTGTGACTCATTTTATAATCAATAATTATTTTGACTTTGTTGATCTCCACTCCTGAATGGATATTGGTATACTCAGGTGAAAAGAATTATTAGTCATTATCTGGCCCTTAGTACTACTTTTGTGTGCGTGGTCATACCTGTAACTGGCACTGTGAGAACTGAAGGATAATAAGATTGTTCATAAGGAAATATCTCCATGCTTCCATATGAAATGTTCTGAGCTTCAAAGGATTTATAGAATTTGAAACAATAGCCTTTGGAAAGTGTTTTCTCCCTAATTACCTGCCTCACAGCATAGCTAAAATCAACTTGATGGCTTTGTAAGTCTGATACACTGGGGACTGGCTGCCCGTGCTTTAGTTCTTCTAAGACTGCCTGCAATCCAAGAAGCCTGAACGAAACAGCAGGACTGGGTGTGATACTGAGGCCAGGTACCAATGGATTAGAATGAACCTTTCCAATGTTTATACGGAGGTTTGCTGCAGACTTTAAGCTGTATGAGTCTCGCTTCTGCAAGAAATGCCACACCAGCCAGGTCTTCTGTGCAAGAGACATCCATCTGCCACTGGGCAAAGAAACAATAACTCTGGAAGAAGATGACCCAGGGAACACTGGCTGTGGCCCAATACTTCGGAGAAAGGTCTCTCCTACACCTGTTACCCCTGTGCTACCAGAGAAAGGGGTGCTTGAGTGCTAGTTCTGAGGATGTAGCATAGACCATTGTGTCTGACCCACATACCATTTTTTAAAAAATTAACACACAGCATTTCCAATACATATATTTGACATTTTAAAAGTAGAAGTTTTCAGAGTCTCCTAAAAAATTGAAAGATCAGATCAGAGTAGCCTTAAATTTTCACAATCCAAAGTCTTGCTCCAGATGAGTAGCAGCTTTCTGCTTCAGACGGGGCATTTGCTTCCAGATCAGTGGTTTCTCCCCGACCAGCTTCCCTCTTCTCTCACCTGGACCCCGCAGGTGCTGGAGTTCAGAGCCCATGCTGTAGCTGAAAGGGACAATGGAGGAAGAAAGACATGTTTCAGAAATGAATGATTCAGATTTCAGCTCTACAATTGACCAGTTTCTTAGGTAAACTTTCAGAACTGTATCTACTTCATCTTTGAAAGTCCCAGGATATAGAGAATTTCAGTCGTGAGGACATAAATACATGAATTTAAAACATGTAGATGACTTTGTTATATGGAAAACAATAAAAGAGAGCTTACATCTAAATTTTATTTAATATAATAGTATAGTTTCCAGGAACCCAATGAAACAAATATATTCATTAGCTAAAGAGAAATACATGTCTATTTATCTGATCTTGAAGTGAAGGAGACAGGGAAATACAGGCTAACCAGAAAGCCAAGGTCTTCTCTTGGAAGGAAAAAAAAAACCAGAAATGACATTTCCTTTTCTAAACCTTTTTTTGATGAAGAAATCAGTAACACTTGCTTTACTTACAACTTTTTTATGCATAAATTTTTAATAGTGCTGGTAGAACAGATTAACATATCATGATATTTGGGCAATTGAATTTATAATAATAGTAAAACAACTTTTCAACTGAATGGTTGATAGTATTTTGTGCCTCAAATTAGTCTTCAGAAAATAAAGTGTATGAATGATTAAGCAAAAAAAATAGCTAATTAACTAACTAATAAATTTAATAAATATCTTTTAAATTGAGTACTCACTAATTTTTAGACCCTGTCCTACATGCTTGGGATTGGGTGCAAAAATTTTATGTTCATAAATTTAACTATTAATAGGAATTTCAGCCTCATGGCAAGTGTCTTGGTTTTGAATATCCAAAAGAAAATAATTCTAATACTGTGTTGGGAGCAAGATTCAACAAGTGGGTAATTTGGATCTTTGGTTAGTTTGATTTGGTATGCTTTTACCTTAATTTGTAGTAAGAACATTACAACCCCTTATAAAGTATCAAATTTATATTATTAGAACCATAAAAGATATAAAACAATTACAGCTATAGACAATATCAAGAATAAAATATTAGCTACAATGAAGACATATCTTTTCCATGGTGGTTTTATGTAAGTGGCATAATATTTTAAATCTTTTTGTTTTAATTGTTATTACAGTAAGTTTTATCTGCTGTTTAGGATATTTGAAATGTTCAAAGACAACCACAAGAAACATTTCGTATCCAATTTTAATTGCCTAGGGATTTTTAATCAATAAAATCAATAGATAGGTAATGCTGACATATTTAAGAAAATTTGGTTTTTGATGTTTCATTCGTTTGGTCTGAACTTCAGGGAGAACTTTCCATATGACTCTGGATTTGCTTCTTGCAACTCTGCCGTCTATAAAGTACTGAGTTGAGATAAAAGTGGAATGTTGATTGGTTTGTGCAGTATCAAGCAGATTATACTCAGGTATCAGAAGTGGTGAGTCTTATCTGTATTCAGTTGGCATGTTCTAAAGGAGGGTTACTGGGAATGTACGACGTTGGGTGAGGGATGATAAAGGTTCATACAGGCTTCCATTTCTTCTTTATTTTTTAATAGTTTATTTATATTGTATTTTTTCTACCTATAACTTTTTACCAAAAGTCCAAGAGTCCTGTATCATAGTGATCTTAGATCAAAAAGTATATTTTAAGCTAGTTTCTCTGCCTCTCCGCACTTTGATTCCAAGTGGCAGCTGTCTTGGATTTGCTCATGCATATATTTCTTAACTCAATGCTAAGTGAAATCAAATGAGGAAATAAAGGCAAGTCATGGTGGGAAGATCTGAAAGCCTGTGTGAGTCTTTTAACCTTGTTAGAAACCTCGCTTTGATTTCCTAGAGCCTAGCTCAAAGCAAAGAATTTTACCTCACTACACGTTTTTTGAATTTTTATTTAGTGATTTTAGAAAGAGAAAGGGAAAGAGAGAAAGCCATTGATTTCTTGTTCCACTTATTTATGCGTTCATTGGTTGGTTCTTGTATGTACCTTGACAGGGGATTGAACCTACACCCTTGGTGTATCAGAATGACACTAACCAACTGAGCTACCCAGTCAGGCTGTACAGTACATTTTTAGTTTCTTTTATACACTCGAGTTTACATATATCTAAAAATATGTAGTTCCAACAGCAATCAGAATTAAAGTCACTATTTACACATCCTTTTCTTGAAAATAGACTTGTAACAGATTTTTTAAGTTTTATTGACTACAGTAAAGGTTGTAGACAGACAAGTTCTCTTTCAGCCAGCAATATTCTTTCTTTCAATATAAACTTCACTCTCCATTTGTTCATATAGTTGTTACTATTCTCTAGTTTCTCATGTTGGTTTTGCACCTCTCACCTATGATACCTTGCTGTCGCCAAAACCTGTGAGTTCGCAACCCCAACATACCATTCACCACAATTAAATTAGAGCCAGACTCAGAAAGAGAACAAAAATTGTTCTGTAATCTTTACTTTAAAAGAAAAGTCACAGATTTTCAGATGCACACTGTGTTAAGTTGTTGATTGACACATGCCCAAGCTGAGATGGTATTTCAGGGAAAAGTCAGAGAGGTGGCTTGGAGACAGTGTTTCTCCAACTCGAGCACTCGTGCATCAGAACTACCTAGAGGACTTATTAAAACACCAGTGCTGTCCCCCTCCCCCACAGTTTCTAACAGGTTTCTAGGTGATGCTGATGCAACTTGTCCAGGGACCAAATTTGGAGAACCACCTGAGTTGAGAAATACCCAGGGACTTGAAATCGTTGTAAAAGAAAGTAAAGTGTCAAATTTCTTTTTCAAGTCACACGCACACACAGAGCCTTTATTTTCTTTACTAAATGATTACAATTTCTTCAGATAGAACTGAGTAAAGCAGTAATGATAATGAATTACTGGAAAGGAATAACTGATATTTGGAGGGATGCAAAGAGATGGGTTAGCAGGTGGTGTGAGGTTCAGGCTGTGTAAACAGAGTGCACTGATTTGAGAGAAACCAATCCCTAACTAGACAACACCAAACAACAACGTGGTTTTAGACATTTCTTTGCCAAGATAATTCATACGACACAGGTCTTGTGGTCTGCTTATTAAAAAAAGAAATCGTTACCAATTTGCTAGGAAAACAAAAAACCTTTGTTACGTTCTTTTATCAGTGATGAATGAACCAGACGTGAAAAAAAGTAGAGTGCATTGACTAGATTTGTCAGGAATTACGCAACATGGCAGCTACATCTGGGGATCATTGAGCCTTTGTTTACATCACTCTGTGAGTCCTTCTCCTGCAGGCAGTCACCAACCCGTGCACCATCTGTCCCAAGGGCGGAGGAATTCCAACGGGTTTTCCAGGGCCAAATACTGAGTCAGACTTCCCTTTACTGCTACTCTGGTCTAAGATGATTAATCAGCAGGGCATTAATGCCTTTACTACCTGAGCTACGGCTTTCTCCTTTAAAAAAAATCCAGTTGATAACGGTTAGGCAAAATTCTTTCAGGCAGTGAGTTTCAATGTTTCCCAGTAGCTAAATTTCTTAATATGACATCAAAGAAAACTCAGATACGGCTTCAAAATGTAACACTGAGCTCTGCCCACACTTGACCCCGGGTCTGCTTTCCTTGAGCTAATGCGTCATAAAGCCTGGCTTTCTGCTTTAACTCCACTTCGCTTCCATTCCCTGCCATGATGACATGACACACCACTTTTTTTCTCCGAAGGTTTCCTGGTCACTATCTGAGGCCAGAAAGTTACAAAGATTAATGAGCTGTCACTGAGGTTATTATCTTTAAACCTCTTAGTATTTCTGGATGGGAGTCACCACTGAAATGCCCAGTTTTATTTTTCCTCTTTTCTCTAAAGTGAATGTATATAGATGTGGCTTTTTTGATTTCAAAACCAGTCTTTCTAAAGGGTTACTTTTGTGGGTGTTTTCGCTTTACATATAAATCCCAGGACTGTGAAGCAATGTCTCTAAACTTGAAAACATTTGGAATCATCACTTTCTAGAGCCACGTACTAGACAAACCCATCACACTTTCAGAGCCCCCCCAATGTTTTCACTGGATAGCTTCTTCAGTGGATACGCAATCGAGATTGGTAGGAAAATAAGTACATCAGCCTCAGCCTCCGTTAGAAGAAGAGGAAGAAGTAGGAGGAAGAGGAGGAGGACTAATGAGCGTCTCCCACCAAGCGGAGCAGTTCAGAGTGCTTTAGCGACATGAATGTATGGGGCAATGGGATATAAAAATGTGTACACTATAGATCTGGGCACCAGCATAAATTAGATCTAAATCATTTACTGTAGGAGTACTGTTCGTGAGGCTTAAAAATACACACTGCTCTCTCCCCGTTCATCAGGCTTGAAAAACACGCACTACGAGATGGCATCTATTGCAGCAGACAGAGTGTACAACATAACATGGTAATAATCTTCAGGCTCCAAAGGAGACTGCCTGGGTTCAAGTTCGCTAAACCTGTTTCCTCATCTTCACGAGCACATAACAATCACACCTACTTAGAGGGCCATCATAGAGATTCCATGAGCTAACACATGCAAACTGCTTAGAACAGTACCTGGCATGTGCTTCTGAGCCCCGAGTCAAGAATTTAAGTTCTGCTGAGCTGGCGACCAGCTGTGAGAATGGGGGCACGTTTGTCTTCATGCGTCTCTTTTCACACATCTGGAGGCACCTACCTCTCAGGAGAATCAAGTGAGATGATGTAGCATAAGAAAGCACTACTAAAATTAGTCACAGAAAGACAAATACCGTATGATTTCACGGATATGAGGAAGCTAAAGAACAAAATAAACAAAACTGAAAGAGACTCAGACACAAAGAGGAACCTGGTAGGTGCCAGAGGCGAGGGAGTTGGGTGACTGGGATTTTGGAAGATGGGAGAAGGGTGGAGAGATGGGTGGAAAAAGTGAAGGAATTAAGAAGTACAAATTGGTAGTTACAGAACAGTCATGAGGATGTAAAGTACAGGGAATATAGTCAACAATACTCTAATAACTGTGTATGGTGTCAGCTGGGTACTAGATTATGGGGATGATCACTTAGTAAGTTAGATAATGTCTAATCACTGGGTTATACACCTGAAAATAATATAATATTGTTTGTCAACTGTAATTGAAAAATTAAAAAATCATTTAATTTAAATAAGATATGAAGCAATTGCAAATAAGACCAAAAAATAAAATAAAATAATATTGAGTCAGTAGAAACAAAAAAAGCTTTTATAACTATAACATATAAACTATCTTGTAAATGCATTAAAATTAGTTTAGATTGATATCCATTAAATTACTAAGGGTAATTAGTAATTACCTCTGAGGGATGGAGAAGAATTGAAGATATGTGAAGGGAATCTAAGCTTTTTACTTTATTCTATATTAGGAATTTTCAGGAAAAAGAGGTTTACTACATATATATTGTTTAATGATAGTGTCTTCCTCACGTTATTGTTATTAGCAAGAACTGCAAGCATCTAAAAACCCTTGATATTTAGGGATTATAGTTTTACTTCCAAGCACCTGTGTGAATATCTCTGTACAGTGCTTACAACATGAAAACTCTCAATTCCATTTCCATATCTGCAGATATAGGAGAAAGATTTAATGTTTCATGTCCCTTTGTTTCTAGGAGGAGGTTCGTGTTGAGACCAAATTTAAAATCTGGAAAGAGGTAGTTGTATACATGAAGGTGTTAAGAGAGGGGGTGGAGTATTTTAGGGCCAAGAGTAGGTCTTTTCTGGAACAGAATGTGCAAAGCTGGCTTAGAGCCAGAAATGAAAGCAGCCAGCCCAGATACACCTCATTAAGAACCTACAGATCCATGATATAAAGATCCCTTTATGTCAAGAGACTATTAGAAATCTAAGAACTTGACAGCAATGCATAGAATAGGACTGAAATAATAGAAGACTAAAGGGAGGTTAGCAAAAGGAGATAATGAAGGCCTTGCAGGACTTAACTGTGGGAACCAAGAAGCATGAAAATTAAGTGTTGCCCAAAGAAACAAATGTAGTCATCAATCTTTTATATATAGGTTGAAGATTTCTCTCCCTTGAAATCTGATGTACAATATCTCACAGTATAGTTGGGAGTAAATCTTGGAATGTGTTGATCATGGAGTATAGTGGAAAAGTAATTTGTAATTTGGAATCAAAACACATGTGTTCAAGTCCTGGTTGTACCAATCACTAACCTCATAACCATGAATGAGTTTTAACATCTCTGCACTCCGGTTTCCATATGTGCAGCATGGAAGTGGCAGTAACATCTACCATACAGAGTTGTTGGGTAGAATGGATAAGAAAGTGTGTAAGAAGTAATAAAGAATATTGTGATCTTAATAATGACTAAAATACTCTCTTAAATTAGTTGAGCATTTAGTAAATACTAAACACTACACTAAGAGCTTCACACACTTGGTGTATCTCATGTGGCTGGTTGAAGGTGATGTTCAGGCATTCATTCATTTGTTCATTCATTCACTCCTCACATATCTATTGGACATTTTCCTGTCATAGCTAGTGAATTGCACATTTTACACATCCTACTTTGAAAGAACTTACCATCTAGGGAAGGATATAAAGGGAAAAAGATCTCACTTAGGAAGAACAAAGAACTCTACCTGTGTTTGTGAGTGTGTGGAGGTATATGTGGTCAAAAATGGTAATGTTTAAAAACACTGAATTCTGAAGTAGTGTTCTTTAAACTACTGATCAATCCACTGATTTTGAGATTAGTTAGGTGGGCTGTGACTAGTATTTTGTTTAAATTATCACTGACGCCCTGGATGGCGTAGCTCAGTGGATTGAACGCGGGCTGCAAACCAAAGCATCGCAAGTTCAATTCCCAGTCAGGGCACATGCCTGGGTTGCAGGCCACAGCCCCCAGCAACCGCACATTGATGTTTCTCTCTCTCTTCCTCTCTTCCCTCTCTAAAAATAAATAAATAAAATCTTTTAAAAAATGTTAAATTACCACTGACCCCACTTTTTTTTGTCCCAGAAGACTCCGAGAACACAGGTATGTAGTGAGATCCAAACAGTGCTCAGCATGCTGGGGCTCCTGCGGGACGCCCGGACTAGAGCCTGCTTTTGTAAACCAGGGGAGCCTCCTGGGAGACCTCATCTTTGTCGGGGAGGAGGGCAGGCTTCAGGGGCTTGACTCAATGATTGTGAATTCAGTGAGACAGGAGACAGTTCAGTCTGTCTGGCCCTGCCCTGGATGTATGTCTGGGTCCTTGAGAAAAAAGGGGAGGCCGAGAATAAAAATTGAAAAAACCGTCTAATTCAGCTCTGAGATACATTGCATCATGGGCAACACTGTTTTAGAACTTTACAAATGAGCAACTTGACCACAGACCACCACATAAGCCCAACAAAGGCTAGGAGGGGAGAGATGGGGAGGAACAAGGAACCATCCATAGTGCCTGGGATAAACTTCTGGGTCCCGCCAAGGAAAGTGGTAACAAAGGAACATTATAAGCCCACATGAGACCCTCCTGGGTTCCTCATCAACAGGGAGACATGAGCCAGGAAGGTCTAACTTACCGATATGAACGTGATCCTGTGACTCCCCACAGGCTACTGCGACCAGAAAAAAAAAGCGTTAGTTATGCATTCCACAGAGAGAATGTTAAATAAAAACAGAAGAGCAAAAGGCAAAGGGGAAAACAGAATTGGGTGAATCTGACCACATGCTTGAAGAGGAGCTGCACTTCTACACTGAAGCAAGCTAGCCATCTATTGTCAGCCTTGAAGACAAGTATCTCCCTTTACCCAGATAGATGAGGAATACACCCAGTGCCTGCCATATCCTGATGAAATCATCATGCTTATTAGATTACAGGATTGCATTTTCTAACTTAAAATGCATTCTCTCCTCAACACACCTTCACAGGATAGGGATGAGAGAAAATGTATAAGGCACTGGGTTAGTGACTTGAAGCACATCAATATGCAAACCACTAAAAAGCCTATTTCCATTTTCTCTTCACTTCTGGGCCAATTTTACAGAGCAGGTAACGTATAACAACTCAAAAAATGGTTTCTCCATGACCCTGTTTCTTTCAGCATCAAGATTCCAATCAATATCTTATTTCCTTTAATATTCATAGGCACAGGCTCCAAGAAAGACCTTGGTCAGGTATATAATCTGTGTCACTTGGAATTGTAAATTTATAAGTGCCTACGTGCCCAGCGTAAGGTAACTACAAATGGACTTAACATGAGGATAATGACCAAAGTCTTAAACCCTGGAGTGCTCCTGACCTTCCAAAACAACCTCAGCTCTGTGCCCACTCATGATTTGTTTCGACAATTTATAAGAAATTGCATGCCTATCGCCCTTTTGCAAACCAAGAAATCACTTTAGAAAGAGAATGTAATGAAAGTGAAACACTCAAGCATCTCATTCCCTGGGAAATTACCAACTCACAATATTATTCTTATGCTTGTAGTGTTCTTTTTCTTTCCTCTGAAGAATCCTACACTCATGTATATTTATGTTTTAAGTGAAACTTCTATGTTTGTCCAAGAAAAGAAAAGGGGAAGGAGATGTCTGGGAAACAGCAATAAGCAAAAAATAAGGGTTTTGAGTACATAGAAATAGGAAATAATTTTCTCAAAAAGAAGAGAATTTAACATGGATACTATTACAAGATCTATAGATGGATCTCACTTGAAAGCATTACTTCTGTTTGTGCATGAGAATGTCTCCCCTAGGATCCCATACTCAACGGAATTTTCTCAGCTTCACCAGGCTTGGTACCTCATGAGGAGTTGCCTTAGTTATTTCAAATTCAATTGGACTTTATCTCTTTTCCAAGGTACAGAGTAATAAAAACCTTTCTTCAAGATGTTTGTGTATTTTATGTCCTAACACAGAGAATAGAGAAAGTAATATTTCTCAGTTCTGACACAAGTGTATGTCTTGAGTGGGGGAGGGTCAAAGAGTGCGGGTGTCGTGGTGATGTAAAGCTGGGCATCAGGTAATGAAAAAATTTTAAGAAACAGTTAACTCATAATCTTCTCAAATAATTATATCTGCACTTTGATAGAATGTTAGCTGAAGATTTTGTAAATTTAAAAACAAATCAGATTCTGTATTTGTGAAATCTATATGGAATCACCTACCTGAACCTACGGTTCACAGATTACTAATCACTTCTTTGAGAATTCCAACCAAGCTTAAATTATTCCAGTGACATCTCTAAAGTTCAAAGTTATACCATCAACATTGTCTGGTCAAGAGTACGACGAGGGGACAAAAAAGGAACATGGTAAGGGGAAATAATGAATCACCTATTTGACGTATACATATTGTCATCTATTTTGGATTATATCTACGAGTCAGAGAGATGAGAAATGGATTCACTCATAAAAAGCTTAAAACTTAATGGGGAAAATGAAACTCACATAGATGAAAATATTAGAGGCCAAGTATTTTTATGTATCATTATACTTTGTGTACTTAAAAGCATATTGGAATATTATATAACGAACATAACAAAGTGCTATTTTTTTGTTGCAGTAATAAACAAAGAAGTGCTTGGGACCTACCAAAACAAGCTGTCATAGATCAGTAACTACCCGTATAAAGTAGCAATGTCTAAACACACACACACACACACACGTTATCAATAAATGTGTTTTCTAAACTTCTGTGATAATAAAAATCACCCAGAGAACTGACTTTTTAATAAGCCTTCTCCAGACCTATTGAAATGAACTCTCCAGGAAAAGAGTTTGAGAATCTGTATTTATAACAAATGACTCAGTTGATTTGGATTGGGTAGCTTTAGAAAACGTGACAGTCCTCAAAACAATTCTATAAAATTATTATCAGTTGTCTTTCCCAATCAAAAAAACTTAAGGTTAGAGAAGTTAATGAGCTACTCAAAGAACTTCCAAGCTAGTATAAAATTATCTGACTTTCCAAACTTTTGTTCTTTTCACTGCCCTAAGATTTCCTTGTCCTCAGAGAAAATGACCAGATTGGATGTGGAAACAGAATTAAAATACTTACTATAGAAACATTCATTTCTACGGCTGCTTAAAAAGCAACACTACAGTCATTTTAAAGTGCTGGAGAAAAGAATACTGAGCCCTTAAAATAACAAACATCTTTGTCGGAGGCAGAATGGAAAGATTGGTGGGGACTGTGGAGTGCTTTGTGTCCCAGGGAAATGTTGAGCACGCAGTTGAACAAGACATAAGGGATCCTGGATCTGTAAAGAGCTACAGAAAAGGACCAGCACACGCAGAGAAAAACACTCCAGGCTCAGAAAGGACGTTGTTCCGACACACCTAAGATATAGGTTATCACAATGCTGTTCTCTAACTCTGCCTGCGTGAGAGACAAATGCCAGGACCCTGATGAATAAAAAAGCCAGAATACTGACAGGTGATGCCAAATTTGTGTCAGCAGAAAGCAGTAATAGAAAACCTCGATCTTTAGCTAGGAAGAAAGCTAAAATATAAGGTGATGCATTTAACTCCAAGTGAAACCAGAGCCAAGTTATGAAGAAGTCTCAAGGCCTCCGACAGTGAGAGCTCCTTAACCTGGGGTGTCTTTTCAATGGATTTCAGAAACAGCATCTTGATTATAGCATCGTATTTTTATGTATGTGTTATCTGGAAAATCTATAGCATTCATAGCTTCCTCATTAAAGTCTACAGCACAAAAAGAGGTCAAAGGAATAGAAAGATCATTTCTTTAATGAACTCAAACAGTTTAGAAGAAAAAAAAAGAAAAACATAGGTGGTCTTAAAGTCCTAAAATGCCCGCATAAGGATCAGGTGAGTCAACAGGAGCCATATCAGGAGTGCGCTGGCAAATGTTCAACAACTGGCTGTCCAGTGGAAAGAAGCTATAATTTGTAACACTCGTTAATTTTTGTGTTATAAATATACCATTATGGCCAATTTCAAGCTGCCAGTGAATTGTCAACTAACACAAAATTCCTGAAAATTTAACAATCAGCTTTCACAAGCTTGTAGGAGCTAACTCCAGCAGGCCTCTCATTCAGGCTGTTACTGTAGTTAGCTAGCTAATGATTAATAGAAGGAGCAAGGGGAATTAGACTTTGAGTTTGATAAACTGGGGAGCATAAGCCTGTGTGCTTAGCCAAGAAGCTACAGCTTCACATACTCCAGGGACAGCTGCCGAGGAGACTTAGGTCTCAAAGTAGACAGGAAAGTCATCCCAGGGTGCTGCCGGGCTGGTACCAGATTCCCAGAAGGAGGAAGAGGGGAAATTTCTCTGCTGTGCACATGCAGAGCGGAAACCAGATGGAATAACAAAACTTTCTGACATGCACAATAGAAGTCAAGATAATGCAGGGAAAGGTGTTTCTATTTTGGGGCATGTGCAGTGAGAGCCTAGCCCAAGGCAAAATGGAAAGGTGATCAGATTAGATGGAACCCCAGAAGGTCCAAGAAAGGGATTGGTTGGGTGTAGAGCCTGACTCAAGCCCAGAAAAAATCAGAAAGTTGGGTTGGATGGTATGAATGGCGCCTTGTTCTTTACCAAGAACCAAGAAAATATATGGAGGACTACCAGGAGCCTGGGAGCGGTTGCTGCGAGAGCCTGCTCACCCTCTTCATCCCTGAGGGCGTATTAATTCTCTTAACCCCACTAAAATCTCACCATCACGTTTAAACTCCTGCACGTGTGTGCCGTTTGAACTTCTTTTCTATCGACACAGCAAAAGAGCTGGTTTTGAGTGGCAACAAGGTGAGTTAGTTCTCCCCAAGCCTGGAGACAACTAAAAGTAGGTGAAGTCACGAAGGAAAATAATTGAGCCCGATTCTGTGTACACTTTATGTTAAAATTTTATGAAGATTGCTTTAAATAGACCTTTTCAAGCAGCCTTCATAAAATGTTTAACCAAATTTAAAATATAAAGATCAATGAATAAAGCCAAAGCTCTCTCTAATGTTTTGGATAAAAAGATTAATTTCCATAAAAAAATAATAGAGCAGAAAAGGATGCTGAGGTTCTGAGGAAGAAATCGGGTCCCTTCTTATCTGAGTCCATTCAGGCTACAATAACAAAATACCATAGACCGGGTACCTTATAAACAACAAGTGTTTGTAGATCCCGGTTCTGGGGGCTGTAAGTCCAGGATCGAGGTGCTGGTGTGGTCAGATTCCAGTGTGCCCCCCTTCCAGGCAGCAGACTTCTGGTTGTAACCTCCCCAGGAATAACGGCTGGGGAGCTCCCCCACTCTCTTTCATAAGGACATTGATCTCATTCACAAGGGCTCCAGACGCATGACCTAATTCACCTCCCAGTGTTCCCCCTTCTTCCTAATATGGTTACATCATATTTGGGGGATTAGGGTATCAAACATATGGATTTGGGGGAAAACATACATTCAGACAATAACACTTCTAGGACAGTGGTTTTCAAAATATGGATCCTGGGCCAGCAGCATCAGCCTCAGCTGCAAACGTGTTAGAAATGAAAGTCTCAGGCCTCCACCCCAGATCTCCTAAATCAGAAACCCTGAGAGAGAAGAAGCCCAATAACCCGTGTTTTAACAAGTCCTCCAGGGGACACGGACGTGCCCTGAGGTCTGAGAACCTTGGCTGTAAAGCAAGGGCTCTCCGATTTCAGCACGCCGAGCATCCCCCGGGGAAACATGTGACCCTGCGCGTCCCTGGCCCAGGACACACCTACTCAATCAGAAGCTCCAGTGAGGAGGTCCAGAAACAGTTTTAGGTTTTATTTCATGTTACTTTATTCTATTTTTATTTATTTGCATTTTTGTAATTTGCGACTCAGAGCCATTGGGAGGAAGAAAGAAACAGCCTTCTTATAAAAAAACTTTTAAATATGTACAAGAGTAGAAAGAAGAGTATAATGAATTCTTATGGAATTACCACTCAGTTTAAACAAATATCAGCATTTTGCCTGTCTGATTTCATATCCCCTTAATTTTTTTAGTTTGTTTTCTGTGGGAATACTTTAAGGCAATTTCTAGACATCATATCATCTCACCAGTATGTCAATATGTATCTCACAGATAAGAGCCTTTTCTTTTCCACTGACAATTGCTATTATTGTAATGTACAACATTGACAATTTCTTAACTCTATTCCAGAAATACAAAAGTGGTTTCAGTAGTTAGTCCAGACATCATGTTTGTTTGTTGTCCTTTTAAATCTCTTATTCTGTAATCCTCTCTCCCTCACCATTCCACCTCTCCTTTTTTTTTTATGCTAGCTCAGTGTTTTATTTTTATTGAATTTATTGGGGTAACAGTTAATAAAATAATATAGGTTTTAAGTGTACAATTCTATAACACATTATCTTTATATTGTGTTGTGAAACCATAAAAGCCCTAGAAGAAAATCTAGGCACTAAAATCTCAGACATTTCTCATGCCAAAATTTTTTCTGATATAGCTCCTCGAACAAGGCAAACAATAAAAAATATAAACGAATGGGACTACATTGACCTAAAAACCTTTGCATAACGCAGGAAACCATCAACAAAATAAAAAGACAGCCCAGTGAGGGGGAGAACATATTCCCCATTCCACTTCTTAATGCAAGATATTTGTTGAGGAACTGGGTTATGTGTCCTTTGTAATTTTATACTCTGTGGACTTGGCTGGAAGTGCCCTTGTGATTTTGTTTAGAAAAGCCTGGAAGAAAGTTCTAGAACTTGTTTCACCGGGGTTCACCTGTTTTGGCAAGAATACTTCACGGGTGGGACTGGGTATTTTCTGATCTCCCCTAGCAGGAGGCTTGCGTGGGCTGTTTATCCCACTTTCGGTGATGTCACCAATGGGTTCAGCTCTCATCAAACCGATCAGCCAAGTATAAAATTCCTCCATCGACAATTAACCTAGTTGTTCTCACACCCATTAATAATTGTTGACAAGACTTCTTATTTCATTAAGGTTTGCAAAATAACAATTTTCTATATTACCTCTCCTATGTATTTCAGCTAGAATATTTCTATAAGGAAGAAATGTCAAAATTTATTTAGTTGTCTGAAAGTAGTTTATTCAAGAAAAACAAGATTCTTTACACCTACTTACAAATTTTACAAGACCTAACTGCTTCCTTAGCAACCTCCAAATGTTAACAGTGAGGATTTTATTCACTTATTTTTGTTTTTTATTACTATTATGGAGTCATGGGTATTTATACATGTTATGTATTTTGAGCCTTTGTAGCCATTATACTTTTTGATGTTGAAATTATCACCGCTTTGTCCAAAGAAGTCTTTAAGAGGTTCTTTAATTTCTGGAACAAGAGGACGTCCCAGAGTCATCTCGCACACTCCCCGCCCCCAGCTGGGGCAGGGGCCCTGGAGTCTTTGGGTGGACTCTGGGGTTTAGAGACCTCAAGGAAGGTACGAGGGTGCTCCTCCTTACTAGTCCTTTCCAGTGGGTGGTGGTAAGATATTTTTAATTCTAGAAGAAGGAAAATTAATTATGAGTTCATACTGCTATCTGCAGCTCAAAATGCAAGATTACCAGCTATTTGCTTGACTTCTTGTTGCTGGTGATATGAATTTCACACTAAAAATACCATATTACTCCCAACAAAAAGACTGCTGAGCATGGCTAAGACTTTTATCCCATGAGAGATGTACAGTCAGAAATACTGTGATTTAAAGTCACTTGAAAGAATTTTTTTCTCTGTGCAGTTATGCCACAAACTTGATATACTATTAGGTTGGTTTGTTTGTTTTAAATTGGGGGAATGACTTTTTTTGTATTCTTTCTTTTTAATTGATAAGGTGCTAGCATGATTTGAATAATCAAAACTGTAAAATAAGGTTAAAATAATAGAGATAACCTCTATTGTGGTTTCTTTGTTTCAATGCTTTAATATAAATGAGCATGTGTGCATATTGGTATAGCGTTTTCTTTTCTGACACAAAAGACAGCATATGTTGTTCTGTACCTTTTTGTTTGTTTGTTTGTTTGTTTGTTTGTCTGTTTGTTTGTTTGTCTGTTTGTTTTTCCTTAACACTTTGACCTGGACATGACATCACATCGATATACAGAGACCTGCTTTATTTTTTTCCACAGCTGCATTAAGTACCACTTTTTGTAGATAGACCATAGTTTTTTCAGTCAGACCTCTACTAAGGGACATTTGGCTTACGTCTAGATTTTTGCGGCAACAAATTATGCCACAGTGAATCGAATTGTATCTATGCCATCTTGTATTTTTACCAGAGTCTCTATGGAAATTACAATATTCTTAGAAGAAAGATAGTTAGGTCAACAGTTAAATACATATGGAATTTTGGTAGATACTAAGTACCAAACACTCCTTGAAATGTTGGACTATATGGAATTCCTAAAGACAGTATAAGAGAGTTTCTTTCTCCACAGCCTAACCAACACGTGCATTGTCAAATACCTTCCCTTTTCTCCCATCCAGTAGGTGAGCAACGGTTCCACAGTATAGGTTTAATTACAGCTCCCTTATGCTGAGCAAGTGGTTAAGGGACAAGTTTACATTTACATTTTGTCTTCCACAGTCTATCTTTTCTTATCTCTATCTCATTTGGGCTGGCCAAAAAATTTTATTGTAATTGAATCTACCAAACTTGTTCTTATTGCTTTTGTAGTTTCAGTCATGGTTAGGAACATTTTTCCTATTCCCAGGTTATGGGGAAAAATTCATCCCTATTTTCTTAAAGTTCTTATTTATACCCAAAACTAAACAAGTTCCTGAAAAGATTCTTATGTACCCCAAAGTACCAGTTTGCAAACCCAGGTTTATACAGTGATGTCAAGCATTGCAGTTATCTACATGAGAAACATTTAATAATCTGTCATGTTTATGATTTTCTTAATTCTTCTAAATGATGCCAATCTGAAGTCTTCTCGCCTGCATAATAAAGTGTTTTGTTAGTCAAACAGAAAAGAGTATTTCTGGACTAATGTATGCTCTTTATGAAATAACATATTCAATTATTAAGAACTTTACCTTTCTAAAAGAAGACAACATAAACCATTATGATGCAGCCCACAATCCATCCAATCAAGAGAAGAACAGGAACCAGAAGTTGTGATGATGTAGATTCTGCTTAAAAATAAACAAAGCAAAACAGATTTGATAGGTCATTTTGGCATTGTATCTTATGAGCCAAGAGAATAAAAGAAATCTGGTAATAGAAAGGGAAAAATGTACTCTCTCAACATACCCAAACATGACTACTACATTTTCTACCAAAGGTACATGTGACTCAGCTGGGTATTTGGAATAGAAGGCCTGTGTTCAATCATAGGTCTTCCTTTTACAGTTATGTGACCTTGGGCCATTCTGAGCTTGAACTTCCCTGTTTGTAAAACATGGGTAATGAAACTTGTGATATCTACCTCCTGAAGCTGTTGTGTGGACCAAATGATGTCACATATGAGCAAGGGCTTTGTAAACTCCAACCACCACATGCGTGTTTAGCGTAGATGGCGCCCATTCATGTCTGTGTTCACTAACACAGAGAGCAGCTGTTTACATATACACGATAGAACATGACTCTGGCACAATTCCTACTGAACTAAATAATAATCATAGCAGGGAAAGATATTGAAATTGTTCTTGGCCTTGATAGCTAACTTGACTCTTAACTATCATAGGGGGAAAAGCATTCTATTTTATACAATCATTCTCAACTAGAGAAAAGAGATTCTATTGTTTTAACTGCTCACTGTTGCAATCAACACTGTCCCAAAACACATATAAAAGACATTATATAATGATTCCTCCTTTGTTTCTATCTGTACCCTGATGTGCAAAAAGTAATTTTAAAAGTATCTCTTTTAAAATAGTCTCTGCATCTCAATCTTACTGTTTCAAACACACACATATCACTCAAAATGATTAAAAAACAACACAGAAATATACAATTAACATTATATGTTAAGGACTCAGATATAACCTTAATTGAAAAACACAATTAGATTTTATGCCATCAACTATCAAAGGGAATACATAGCCTTAGCAATTGCATTTCTATTACAATGTTCACCACTTTAAAATGGGGAGCTTTTTTAATACTGGTAAAATAAAAATCACCCGGAAGCTTCTAAAGACACTTCTAAAATTAGAAGACATACTTATAAAAGCAAACTTTCTGAAGTTAAAATGCATAGTAACAGTTTAAATCTATGTTTCCAGAAATGCTGGACTCTCTCTTAATTCTCAAAAATGAAACAGGCTTTCCTCCTTACTCCACCTTCCCATGACCTTGAGCAAAGCATTAACCACTAAATGAAAACTCCTCTTTCCCTGCCATGTGGTATTGCTTTAAGGATAAAGTGAACATTATGACATACCCTTTACTCTCATTTGGATGAAAGCCTTTTTATGAATTAAGGTACCATGACTGTAGAAGTACAGAATAGTAAGTTTTTTGAACTATTCATGTATGTGGTTTAGTTTCTTTTCCCAGTTTCAAAGGACTTAAAAAATTAATATTGATATTTTAATTCAGTATTAAAAATATTTTATATAAGCTTATTTTAATACAGTTCTAAAATGTGCATTGAAAATTCTTAAAATATATGTATCATTATTTATTATTCCTGATAAACCAATACAATTGACTGTGCATTTTAACATTCAAAGTATAACTGCATTTGTGTTCTTTTAACACTAACATTTTAAGTTTTACCAAAATCTATAACATTGCTTTGAAATAGTAACATATAGGAACTTTGCAAATGTCACTTATATTAATAGCACAAAAAAGCACAAAGCATCTTTTAAAATAAGAACAATTTCAAAATGCTTCTTCCTTGGTCCAGTCCTGAGCATGCCCAAGAGCGTAGTTACCCCTGGAAGCCTTCTTAAGGTCACTGTGCTCCAGAACAAGACTGTCCAAGTTCAAAACGTGGTGCCATCACACTCTAAGTGTGTGAGTGCAGGCAAGTTACAGAGTTTCGCTATGTTTCAGTTTCCTTATCTGTAAAGCAGGAAATACGGTGATGCTGCATAGCTCATGAGATTGCAGTCAGGGTTAAAAGCAACAATTCCTGTGGGCATGTAAGACCTGTTTCTTGCACACAGTGTATTCAGCCCTTTTCTCAGATTAGCGTTAATCATTTTTCTTAAATATAAAAAATATTTAAAACCTAGAAAAAAAGAAATTCAGATGCAAAGCATATTACAGATGACTAGGCCCATTTTATTTATTTTCATTTCAGAAGTAGAAAACAGGCTCAGAGAGGTTGAAGGACTTCCTCAAACTCATGGGGCCATTTTAAATCTCCTTAATTCTGGTCCAGCATGCCACAATACCTCTAATCTAATACCTCAAATCTAGTACAACACCAGAGAGGAACTGACCTCTAACTCATCTTACAGAACAAGGGCGAACAAATTCAGCTCTTTCATGTGTTTGATCCTCTTGATATTGTTCATAATACACAGACAAGTTCCTTACCCTGCACACCTAGGGCACCTTTTGTGGCCATGCTAACATGCATGGTTAACACTCCTTTAGCAGAAATACCACATTCATCAAAGTAATTGAGTAACACCAAATACTGGGAAACATAAAAATAAACCAGCGAGCCTGGGCCTTTTTTGCCAAGAGAGTCTTATGCTTAAATCTTACCTTTTTCAGCCATTCTTCCTGTTGTTGGGTGGGTTGGTCAGAGCCAGGCTTACCTCTTTGTTATTGTTTTCCAGCGTCGCTTTGAACTTTAAATAGAGAGATTATCTGAAGAGTGCAGCAGCTGCCCCTCTCCTGGCTGCCAATTGTCTGCAGGGTGATGTAAGATGTTGGAAAGCAGAGCTCCTCTGGCTCCTGTTATCCTGTTAGGATGGAGGGAAAGGGGGCTACACGGCCTAAACAATTAAATAGGCTGCATAACTCCAACCCAGACATACTCAGATTGTTAATTCGCCCAGTGCCTTCAGACCACATGAAGAACACGTTCAGAGAAGGGGTGTACAGAAGGAAAATGGGATTGTGAGAGAGAAATTCCACCAAAGGGGAAGGGTGATGTATTGGAAAGAAAGGACTTTGAAGTTACAGAGACCTGGCCTCAAATTCTAGCTCTGCTGTTTCTGCAATGAAGGCCAAATTGCTTAACCTGGGCATGAGCTTCTTTCATTTTAAAATCAGGATAGCAATACCCACCCACAGAAGAAGTGCCATAAAGATGCAATGAAAAAGCTCTGTGAAATAGAGACAGTTCTTTATTACATTACAAGATGCAAAAGATAAAACAAATTAAATGGCACCCCTTCAAATGAACGATTGTAAAAAAAGAAATTTTAATATAAATGTACTCGAAACTAAAACAATAAAAGGCTGTGGAATTGCCTAGAATTTTCAGAAAGTAGTCATAATCTTCTTATTTTTATCAGCAATACAAATAAGACATCTCATTTTTTAGAGTCCAACCTGGCTTATTATGTAACATGACCTAGGGTATGGTCTAGATTCTCATTGGAATAACTTTAATTTTTAGGTTTGGATGGAAAAGCTTTGCAAGATGAACCTGTGACCAACTTTCCCAAAACTCCAGCGTGTAATTGAGGATGTCCTCCTTCAGAAACAAGACTGGCATGATCAAAGCTGTTTCCACAGAGCTCCAAGAATGATGTTTCCCTGCAAATGACCATGTCTCATCATTGATCAAAAGCCACCAATGGTTCTCCATCTCCTAGAGAATAAAAATCTGAATTCCTTGTTAAGACACATAAAAAGCCTTATCTCCACCTTTCCATTTGCAAGGATGCCTTAGCCCTACTGAACTCCTTGCTATTATATGACCTCAAGATAAGCTTCCACATACATAAGTAAGGAGAATATTGATTTTCTACATCAAATCATTTACTTATAGATTAGAGTGTGCTGTCAACCATCTGGCAAATTTATGACATGTCCTTTAAGCCAAGTTATCATATCCCCCCCTTCTCTCTCTCCAATTTAATATTGAGACAAACACACACAAAAAATGCCTGGCTGTACCAGGTAAGAAGAGAGACTATGCCTATCTATGCAACAAAATCCCTGGTAAAGAAAGATATTGTTTTTTCAATATTAAACAATCTTATATTGAACAAAGATTAATTGAAGACAAGACAGAGACAGGGAAAATAAAAATGGTGATTGATCCCACTTAAATACTGAAATTTTTTAACTAAATGAGTTCAAATAAACACTCACTATTAAGGCAAAGGGTGGGGGGATAGAGAGAGAGAGACAGGCAGAGAGTGAGAGAGAGAGAGATTCAAAAGAAACAGTGAGGTATTCTCCAAACAACAAACATACATAGATAGAAGATAAAATAATTTGCCTAAAATGAATGAAAATAAAAATATAAAATGCTTCTACATTTTCAATACTTATTGCCATTTCAATTATTTTAAGCTTTTTCCTTTGATATGAAAAGGACTGTTATTAACATTATTGCTATCAAGTTGGATTTTGAGAAGGGATTACTTTATAATTCATCATTTATTTTATTTTAGTTTTCTATAGAAAGAGAGAAGTGGAAAAAACTAATTCAATGAACATGAATTGCTCAGATCTCAGAAAAGAGTTCAATCTAGAATTTCATTTCCTTGGCATCCTATCAGTAAATTTTTTAAAGCTGTATAATAATTGTTAAGGAGAAAATGTTTTATTCATTAATAGACTGGTTTCACTTTGAACTCATAAACCCATTTTCTAATTTTCCTCTTAAGGCATACCATTCAGACACATTTTCTTTTTCTACTTTGCATACTTTCTGAAAGATTTAGCTCTTAAATCCCTTACTATCAAAGTGACATTAAATTCTCCTAGGCTACTTAAGCTAAAAAATTTAACAATTTGCCTCCTTATTCAAGGTAAATCAAAATTCTTTACTTTTCAAATATTTTTAACCATCAGTGTCTGCAGTTGCAGTAGATAGATTTGAATATAGTAGATTAAATGGACAAATTCTTATAAAGATATAAACTACCAAAACTGACCCATTCAAAATAAAAAATTTGAACAGACTTATAACAAGTAAAGAGATGGAAGTCATAATCAAAGAATGTTCCCCAAGGATACATTCTGGAATCAATGCCTTCACTCCTTAAATTCTCCCATTTAAGGAGTTAATAAGACTTCAAAAACTCTTCTCAAAAATAAAGGAGGAGCTAAGACCTCCCAACTCATTCCATGACACTAGTACTGCTCTGAGACCTAACAAAAGTGTTATAAGTAAAGAAACCACAGACCAGTCTTTCTAGTAAATATAGGTGCAAACACTTCAACAATAAACTAACAAGCCAAATCCAGCAACATATAAAAAACATAATACACCATGACCAAGTGGTATTTATCCCAGGAATTCAAAGTCAGCACAACATTTAAACACCAATTAATATAATGCACCATATTAATAGAATAAAAACCAAAAACCATGTGATCATCTCAGTAGATGCAGAAAAAAGCATTTGACAAATTCCAACATTGTTTCAAAATAAAAACACTCAAAAATGAATAATAAAAAAAAAAATCCTCAGTCTCATTAAGTGAATCTACAAAAACCCACAGCTAACATTGCACTGAATGGTGGTGAAAGAATGGACGCTTCTCCCCTAAGATCAGGAACAACACAAGGATGTTCACTCTCACACTTTGATTCAATATTGTATTGAACTTTGCAGCTGGGAGGTTTAGGCAGAAAATGAAGTAAAAAACATCCAAATTGGAAAAGAAGAAATTAAACTACAGTCATATCTCAGTGTGTGTTGGGTTAAGAACTCATCAAACCTGGCACTTACCAAATTTTAACAAGAAAAAAATGTTTCAACACTCGGCACTTGCTTGCCACTCATCCCATATGCTAGAACTTGCATGAGTCAGGACAGCACCCCACAAGAGAAAATGCTTCATCAGTCGTTGCCTCCTCGCCACTCATCGGATCCAATTAAGGATGGGTACCGAGGCACCATTGTATTTCTATTTGTAGATGACTTAATCTGACCTACAGAAAATCTTAAAGAATCCACAAAAAAGGCCTGTTAGAGCTAATAATCAAATTCAGCAAGATTTCAAGATACAAGATTGACACACCAAAATCAATTGTATTTCTACACACTAGCAATAGTTTTAAATTTAAATTAAGAAAAAAATGGCATTAAGTGGCAACGAAAACTATAAAATATCTAGGAATAAATTTAACCAAAAATGTACAAGAGTTGCAACTGAATGCTAATGAAACATCTCTGAAGAAAATTGAAGAAGATATAAAAAATGGTAAGACATTCTGTGTTCACAGACCGAAACACTTAATATTGTCAAAGATGGCGATACTACTCTAAGCAATCTACAGATTCAATACACTTCTATTTAAATACCAATGGCCTTTTTTTTCAGAAAGGGAAAACTTAACCTTAAAATTCATATGAAATGGAAATGGATCCTGAATAATCAATAATCTTGAAGATGAAAAACTACGTTGGAGGACTCACACCTACTGACTTCAAAACGTACTGCAAAGCTACAGTAATCAAGGATGTATGGTATGGGCATAAGGACAGACATATAGATTAACGGAACACAATTGAAAGTCCAGAAATAAACTCATACACTTATAATCTACTGACTTTCAACAGGGATGCCAAGGCAACATATTAGGGGGAAAATAGACTTTTCAACTAACGATGCTGGGACAACTAGTTTTCCATGTGCAAGAATGAAGACAAACCCCTACTTCACGCCATATAAAAACATTAACTCAAAATGCATCAAAGACCTAAATGTAAGAGCTAAAACTACAAAATCAGAAGAAAACATAGGGGTAAATCAGGCAATGGTTTCTGAAATATAATACCTGAACTACAAGCATTCAAAGAAAAAAAAAGACAAATTGGCCTTTATCAAAATTTAAAAGTTTTTTACATCAAAGGACACCATTAAGAAAGTAAAAAAGAAAATCTGCGGAATGGGAAACAATATTCATGAATCATGGGCATGTACAAGAGTGTGGTGATTGTGGGGTGAAAGAGGTTATGGGGGGAATAAATGGTAATGGAAAAAATAAAATAAAAAATATTGGCAAATCTGGATACTAATCATGGTTTAGTATCCAGAATATATATATATATATATATATATTATATATATATATATATATATAATATATATATATATATATAAAGAATATTTATATATATATAACTCTACAATAAAAAAATAACCCAATTCAAAAATGGGCAAAAAATTTGAATAGACATTTATCCAAAGAAAATATACAAGTGACTAATAAGCACATGATACTATATTGAAATCATTAGTCACTTGGGAAATGCAAATCAAAACCACAATGAGATCAAAACCACTTTACCACTGCTAAGGTGTCTATAATAAAGACAGACAATAACAAGTGTTGACAAAGATATGGAGAAATTAACCCTCTATGTAGTATTAGTAAGAATGTAAAAAAATGACACAGGTTTTTTGAAAAACAGTTTCTCAGTTCCTCAAAATATAGAATTACCTTATGATCCAGCATTTCTATTGTTAAGTGGTGTACACCCAATTAATTGAAAATAGGTGTTCAAAAAAACTATACACAAATCTCCACAACAGCATTATTCATAATATTCAAAAAGTAGAAACACCCCAATGTCCATAAACTGGGGAATGGATAAACTAAGTGTGGTACACACATACAATGGAATTATTCAGCCATAAAAAAAGTGAAGTTCTGGTATAT